ACCAGAGGTTCGGGGAGCCATCAGGCTGAAGAAGGAGGCCTACAGGGCATGGCTGGTCTGTGGGTCTCCGGAGGCAGCAGACAGGTACCGGATAGCCAAGTGGGTTGCAGCAGTGGCGGTTGCCGAGGCAAAATCTCGGGCGTGGGAGGAGTTTGGTGAGGCCATGGAGAAAGACTATTGATCGGCTCCAAAGAGGTTCTGGCAAACTGTCCGGTGCCTCAGGAGAAGAAGGCAGCAACTCGCTCACACTGTTTACAGTGGAGATGGGGAGCTGCTGACGTCAACTGGGGCTATAGTCGGACAGTGGAAGGAATACTTTGAGGAGCTCCTCAATCCCAACTACACGCATTCCGAGAAGGAGCCAGAGCCGGGAGACCTGGGGGCAGAATCGTCCAATCTCGGGGGCAGAAGTTGCTGAGGTAGTCAAACAACTACACAGCGACGGAGCCCCAGGGGTGGATGAGATTCGTCCTGGGTATCTCAAGGCTATGGACGTTGTAGGGCTGTCATAGCTGACACGTCTGTGCAACATAGCGTGGTCATCGGGGGCAGTTCCTGTGGAGTGGCAGACCAGGGTGGTGGTCCCCATCTTTAAGAAGGGTGACCTGAGGGTGTGTTCCAACTATAGGGGGATCACACTCCTCAGCCTCCCTGGAAAGAACTACTCCAGGGTACTGGAGAGGAGGGTCAGATCGATAGTTGAATCTCAGATAGAGGAGGAGCAATGTGGTTTTCATCCTGGCTGTGGAACTGTGGACCAGCTCTATACCCTTGCAAGGGTGATGAGGGGGCATGGGAGTTTGTCCAACCAATCCACATGTGTTTTGTGGATTAGGAGAAGGCTTATGACCGTGTCCCCAGGGGCACCCTGTGGGGGACACTCCAGGAGTATGGGGTGGGTGGCTTTCTGTTAAGGGCCATTCAGTCCCTTTACCAGAGGAGCGTAAGTTAGGTCCACATAGCTGGTAGTAAGTTGAACCTGTTCCCGGTGAGGGTTGGACTCCGCCAAGGCTGCCCTTTGTCACCGGTTCTGTTCATCACCTTTATGGACAGAATTTCTAGGTGCAGCCGTGGTGTGAAGTGTGTCGAGTTTGGTGGCAGGAGAATCTCGTCTCTGCTTTTTGCGGATGATGTGGTCCTCCTAGCTTCATCCAGCTCTGACCTTCAGCTCTTGCTGGGTAGGTTAGCAGCCGAGTGTGAAGCGGCTGGGATGAGGATCAGCACCTCCAAATCTGAGACCATGGTTCTCGACCGGAAAAGGGTGGCTTGCCAACTCCGGGTCGGGAGAGAGGTCCTACCTCAAGTGGAGGACTTTCAGTATCTCGGGGTCTTGTTCACGAGTGAGGGTAGGAGGAATCGAGAGATCGACAGGCGGATTGGTTCAGCATCTGCAGTGATGCGGACGCTGAGCCGATCTGTCGTGGGGAAGAGGGAGCTGAGCCAGAAAGCCAGGCTCTCGATTTACCGGTCGATCTACGTCCCAATCCTCACCTATGGTCATGAGCTTTGGGTAATGACCGAAAGAACGAGATCGCGGATACAAGTGGCCGAAATGAGTTTCCTCCGTAGGGTGGCCGGGTTCAGCCTTAGAGATAGGGTGAGGAGCTTGGACATTCGGGAGGGACTCGGAGTAGAACCGCTGCTCCTCCGGATCGAAAGGAGCCTTGGGCATCTGGTCAGGATGCCTCCTGGACGCATCCCTGGGGAGGTGTTTTGGGCATGTCCTGCCGGCAGGAGGCCCCCGGGTCGCCCCAGGACACGTTGGAGAGGTTACATCTCCAATCTTGTCCGGGAACGCATTGGGGTCCTGCCGGAGGAGCTGGTGGAGGTGGCCGGGAAGACGACGGTCTGGAGCTCCCTAGTTGGGATACCGCCCCCGCGACCTGGACCCGGATAAGCGGAGGAAGATGACGACGAGTCAGAGTCCCAAGCAGAGGAGTTTTGAATGATTCGGTTTGATAAACCCAGCAGAGTTCATTCAACTGCTGTGCCGTTCTAGGTTTTAGCCTAAGCTGTCCAAAAAGAACCTAGAGAGAGTCACGTCTGTGTTTGTGCTCTCCAGGCCAGATGTCTGTGACTCCGTACGTCAGTCTGAAGGCTGAAGATGGTTTCGAATACTGCGGCGAGGTTCGTTACCGGGTGCAAATATGGGAAAGCATCTTTCCAGCTCTAGAAGAGTTGCCATGGCGTCTGGTAAATGATCGCGTTGAGGTCAAGGTTCTTCTGTTCAGGTGCCAGTTTCTAGCAGGGACGGCTCCTTCAGAAACGCCCCCTCAGGATCACTCTGCCCTACTGGCTGTGCCACGCTGTAAGCTTCAAAGTCACGAATGGTTTTGCACGTTGCTGCTTTAGAGTTTATCTGCGCCGTGTTAAGTAGCAGTGGCTCATTCTCATCATCATCGCAACATTTTAAATGTCTGTTTCAGTGCTTTTGATGTAGATATGTCCAGCACCTTGTTCTGTCCGGATCGCCAGCAGACACACACACAAACACACACACACACACACACACACACACACACACACACACACACACACACACACACACAGACACACACACACACACACACACACACACACACACACACAGGTGCATTGTGACTTCTTGTAGGAAGGTCTGAGTGGCTGCTGTGACACTGCTGGGATGTTCAGTTCCCGTGGCGATAGTAACCAAGCGATAACACTAACCATCTGACCCCTTTAATGTGTGTGTGTGTGTGTGTGTGTGTGTGTGTGTGTGTGTGCGTGCGTGCGTGCGTGCGTGTGTGTGTGTGTGTGTGTGTGTGTGTGTGTGTGTGTGTGTGTGTGTGTGTTACCATCTGTGCTACCACCTCGGGGGAGAAGCAACACACTGAACAGTGATTAAAGAGAGAAAGACAGATGCAGGTACCTAGAAGACCTGGTCTATGAAGAACAAAAATGAGTTTTCCAACCAGGAACGCCGATTTAGAGCAGGAGCTAAAACACGGATAAAGACTTTTTAGTCTGAATGTCATGGGAGCAGTTTGTCAATACATCTAGCTGCTGGACAACACACTTACACAGATGGTCCAGCCACGTGGATACGTGTTTCTGCGTAAATCAGTATTTTTCACACTTGTTACAGATGGCTTCCTGTGGTTGTTGTTGTTTACAAACATACAGTAAACACCATCAGCAACTAGCTGTAGCTCCATCCATGAGTTTGTGTGTGTGCGTGCGTGTGTGCGTGCGTGCGTGTACGCATGCATGTGTGTTTAAAACCCAAACACAATCAACAACACGACAACAACAAACAAAGACTCTGCCAAAGAGCGGCGAGCCTGCTGTTCTCTCTGCTGTGACTGTAATCTGATTACCAGGAAAATGCAAAAAGATCAAATGACTCGTTCTCTTCAGAAAGGAAACACGAGTCAGACGACCAGGAAAGTGGTCTGTAACACGTAAACAAACGGATGAAATATTCCGTCTGATGTGATGCAGTGTGAAAATTCCACGTGGTTTAATCTGATTCATGCGGAAAGTTTGGAACCTTTTCAGCTTCAGATTAACCGTAAAACGGTGTAAAAAGAGAAAATAAACAAGTTTGTTTCATGTCTTATGTTGTTATAACGAGCCTTTAGGAGTCAATTTGATAATCTGACCAGAATAACCAGAAATATTAGGATATGTGTCCAGATTATCTACTTTACTAGAATAACCAAACTACAGTTCTGACTGAACTACCTAGACTATAGATAACATCATTGGATTAACTGGACTAGAGAAATGTAATAGTTTCCCAGGACTATAGATAATTAATCTGACAGGATTAACCAGACCATAAGTAATAGTCTGACCAGATTACCAGGACTATAAATAATAATCTGACTGGTTTAAACTGACTAAAGGAAATAATCTGACCAGATTACCAGGACTATAAATAATAATATGACTGGATTAACAAGACTATAGAAATTAATCTGACCAGATTATCAGGACTATAAATAATAATCAGACTGAATTAACTAGACTAAAGACATTAATCTGACCAGATTATCAGGACAATTGATAATAATCTGACTAAATTAACTGGACTACAGACAGATATTAATCTAGCCAGAATAAATAAACTACAGATATTAATCTGACTGGATTAACCAGACTATGAATGTTGGATGCATCAGTAAATCATGATTTCTGGGATCTGCCTGATCCTGTTTCCATGTTGGGGAATGCTGAACGCTTCTGGAGGTGTTTCAACACCTGGATTAGGACATCGATGTAAAGCATCTGGATTAAACTATCTGATGGAAAACACCTGGATTACACCATCGTATGGAAAACACCTGGATTACACCAGCTGATGGAAAACACCTGGATTACACCAGTTGATGGAAAACACCTTGATTACACCAGTTGATGGAAAACACCTGGATTACACCAGTTGATGGAAAACACCTGGATTACACCAGCTGATGGAAAACACCTGGATTACACCAGCTGATGGAAAACACCTGGATTACACCAGTTGATGGAAAACACCTGGATTACACCATCTGATGGAAAACACCTGGATTACACCAGTTGATGGAAAACACCTGGATTACACCAGTTGATGGAAAACACCTGGATTACACCATCTGATGGAAAACACCTGGATTACACCAGTTGATGGAAAACACCTGGATTACACCAGTTTATGTAGAACAACAACAACTCACTCTGGATGTGAACAACAGTCAGTTTGTGATCAGCTGACTTTCTGTTTGCTGAGGATTTATGATGTGAGGAAAACGCAAAACCTTCATTTATTCCTGGATTTCCAGGTTGAAATTCCCACCCTGAGTCGACATCTCTCTGACTCACAAAGCAAATCCAAAATAAGAAGGATTTGACCCAAAGCCAGAGATTACGCTGCTTAATTTGACTGTAAATAGTTTGTAAACCTCTCCTCCTGACGGTCCCATGGCTTTGTGGACCCTTGGTGTCAGGAACCAGAGGAGAGAACATCTGCAGAAACATCAAGATGGAGTTCCTACCTGGGTCTCGGAGCACCAGCTGAGCCATGGCCTGAGAGCAGCCGGCAGAATTCTCAGCCACACACTGATAGAATCCTTCATCCGACTTCACCAATCCCAGAATCTGCAGGTTGGTTCCGTCCTGAGATTAAAACCAGAGTCTGAGAACCATCCAGAGGAGCTTTAAATGATTCAGTTTAATAAAACCCAGCAGATAAACCCGGATTATTCAGATTAAACAGACTTTTGTTTACTCAGATAATTTTAACAGTTTTAACAACATTCTTCCAATTAAAGAAGATGACATGAAAGGACCAAGTCGGGTTCCCCAAAGTGGGGAACTTGGGGGGGGGGGGGGGGGGGGGGGTGCTGAAGTGAATCAGATGCTTCCTGTGGGTCATTTTAAACCCTCCACCATCAAATGACTTCAGCATCCTTTAAACCAACATGTTCACATTTATCGGCCCGCGAGGACTTGCAGCTGTGGCCTGGACAGCCATCCCAGAGGAATATGGCCGTTCTCTTTGGTCACAGCTGGCTGAGACCTGGTGTTCCCATCCCGATGGGTACTCACCACTATCTGGAAGTAGTCACTAGGGATGACCTCCTCCCCGTTCTTCATCCAGCGGACGAACGGAGGTGGGTTTCCGGTCACGGCGCACTCCAGCTCGATATCGGTAGACTCGTAGGCGTAGGCGCTGGTCGGGTAGTTCAGGAACTGAGGAGGAA